TGACTAAATACTTTTTTGCCCCACTGTATATCTAGTAGTTTTGTGTTCAAGCCTGGGGCCCCGGGCGCATGATGGAGCCCATCTCTTGGTTGTGCTGAATGACTAATGGTTTTGTCATTTTTCCTGGCTGCTGTGTCCTTTTATGTATTTTTTATCTTTCTTAATATTGTTAGCCCCCCAGAGTCATGCATTTGAAATGGGAAGCCATATGAATTAATTAATTAATTAATTAATTAATTAATTAATGAAGTTACAATTCAGAGTTAATTTAAATATATTATCATACACCATTGGAAAACCTGAAGGATCAAATTACAGAGAGATCTGTGGAGTCCTTGGGGTTCTCTGAGCTTGGTTGTTTTCTTGCAGACTTTTTGTTACCCGGCTAGGTAACATCTTTAGTGCTAGAAGGGAGTGGGGCTTACTTTCTGTTTATATACAGTATATATAAAACAACAGTTCAACCCTGAGCTACATATATTCTCTTCTATCAGAGAGAGATCATCCTTGACAAAGTATATCAATGTGATTAAGAGTCACCGCTAACTTGATGGCACATAATTAATCAATAAAAAAAAATACTATTCTAACAAACAATGAGCTATAAATTAAGTGGGCAACACTTTAATAAAGATGTGAGTGGCCCATAACCATTTCCTACCCAGATTATTCCACTGAAATTCATAAGCACACTTAAAAATTCTCATTGTTAAAAAAAACAAGGACAATATGTGCATTTAGTTTGTACTAGGTTTAACAAAAACCTAGTTATTTAAAACAAAACACACTCACAAAATCAAAGTCAAAAGGACCAAAGTTTCAGATTCACTGCTTCTAAGCTTGGAGATAGATGATGGTTGGGTGTTTGAAGCATAGTCTAGGCTGCACAAGATCACTCATTCTTATTTAAAGATTAGAGATTAAACAAGTTTGATTTTAGTAACAAATTTACAGTCTCACCGTTGTTTCATTTGAAATACATTTTTATAGCTGTAACAAACCATGGTCTTCCAAGAATAAGTTAAATTATAAAATAATCTTATTGTTTAATAAACATCTTTAGCATTAAAATATTTTATCTGAAAATGTAAACAACAGGAAGAAAAAGGTACCTCATTATATTCTGGCAAATAAAATCTTACCTCTCAGCTGCAGTATCTGGCACTAAACGCATTTTTAACTTTGATGCAGTCACTTTTGTCTCCTTCCAGACATTCTCTTCCTTAGGCTGGCTCTGTGCATTCCCCCCACCTCACTTACCATATGCACAATGTTAATTCTATATATTTATTCTGAATATTTAGATCTCTCCTTGTAACAAGTTCTCAAGGTGGATTAAATAATAAATTAAAAGAAAGCCATTTAAAATGGATAGCGTGACACATAATTAACTCTAGAAGCAATGTCACTTTTCTCAGAGAAACCATCCATATTTAGTGATTTATAGCACATCACTAGGACAATATCAGCCTTGTCAGCATTAGTGACATATTGCCAAAGCAATGGCTGGGTAACCCTATACATCAGTAATATTGATAGCCCTGGAGAAGAATAAAGTAATCAGAAAAACACAACATGTTTTTCTGAGAGAGAGAGAGAGCTGCACAGGATCATAGTAGAAAACTTAACACTTTGACAGTACAAGCCGGTATTTTGAATTCAGTTCTACAGAACTGCATTCTGAGAACTGCAACCTAATTTTTCTGGGTGCATTGTATTTTAATCAACGAGAGTAGTACTTACCTCAGCGTTTTTAAATGTAGCCCTGAGATATTCTTCAACCTCTGGTTTCAGTAAGATTTTGCAGAAAATAGCCATAGCTCCGATCTATTTTTCTTTTTTTTTTAGGGAAACATCTGTAATAAGCAACGTATTCTTTCATCAGTGCTTTTAATATGTACAATTAAGCATAGAACAAAATCAGATATTAATAGATTTTTCACATAGACAATATTACTGTATATCAGGAAGCCTACTTAAGAAATTTAATTGTCCTCCCATCAACAGATCATGTTCTTTTTGTCAGGTTCGGTCAGCACGAGGTTTCAGGGAAGCACGGGGCTGCAGGGAAGCCCACAACCAGACCACGCGGAATCCCCCGGCGGTAGCTAGCGGGGAAAAGAGGAACCGAAAGC